ATGCTGGAGTAGCAAATATCTGCTCCATTCGGCTGGTGGTTTGAGAGACAGGGGTGGGAGAGTTGAAGCTAAGGTCATATCATGTGAAACATCTACATTATCCTCACTCCAAAAAAAAAATCACTTCGTATATACGCTACTATACATCCTACCATCACCAACTTTCACAACCTAGCATTATAATTTTTAGAAAATTTTACCCGCCCTCCAACTCACACACACATACACACACACACACACACACACACACACACACACACCTCACGCAACATGTGTTCGCCTCTTTCCACTTCTTTTCCGTCAACAGATTCCTGAGCGATTTGGACGACGGCGTGTTCATCTACCAGACACTCGAGAATGTTCTCAGCGACACAGACGGCAAACAGCTCCTCACAGAAGTGCGTGTGTGGGGGGAGGGCTCATTTTTGCTGCTGGCAGGTGCGAAGCAAGTGCGGACGCAAAGCGTTTGATTTCCGATGCTACGCTGACTTGCCACCACCTCACACCACCACCACCACCACCACCACCACCAGGCGCTGTTCCTGTACGGCGTGATGCTGACGACGGTGGACCAACGCATTCCGGGCCCCGTCCGCGAGCGCCTCATCGTCTCCTTCCACAGATACTGGTGCGGCTGGTCGTCGTGATGATGGAGGAGGAGGAGGTGGTGGTGATTCGTCGTCGTGATGGTGGAGGAGGTGGAAGTGAATGAGCTGTTTGCACACGTCTGTTTGCGTGTGTGTGTGTGTGTGTGTGAGTGCATGTTGGTATTGGTTGGCATTGCGTGCCCTCATGTATGCTTCAAACACCAACCAACCATCCATCCGCGTGCATGTGCGTGTGTGTCAGCGTGAATGAGGCGGAGCAGGCCAACATCGAGGCTGTCATCAAACTCTTCCGCTCAACAGGATACGTCCACGGCGTCAAGGTGCGTGTGTGCTTGCGTTTCTTGTGTGTATGTGTGTGTGTGAAATGCGTTTGTTGCTGTGATGACACCAGTGCTGACTCCTATGCTTCAACACACACACACACACGTACACACATACACGCACACACACACACGCACACACACACACGCACACAAACACACACACACGTACACATACACACACACACGTACACATACACACACGTACACACACGTACACACACACACGTACACTTACACACACACACGTACACAGCGGCCGGAGCACTACCCGGAGTCGTACTTTGAGCGGATTGAAATTCCAAAGGGATTCGTGCGCATGGTCATCAGGTGTGACGATGGTGATGATGATGATCACGGTGACGGTGACGGTGGTGATGGTGGTGGTGGTCATATATGTGTGGTGATATATGTGAAGGCTTTGTACGCATGCATACGCGCGCACACGCGTGCAGCCTACTCTCATTTCTCCTCACACCCGGCTCCCTATCCCATCCCCTCATCGCCCCTTGCTCTCCTATCTTCTAACTTCCCCCCTCCCCCAACTCCTCTCCTTTCACCACACCCCACCCTGACCCCGACCAGCCGGGTGCGGTCTGACGATGTGTACAACCAGATGAAGGTGTTCCCTCATCCGGACCACCGCAGCACGGCGCTCGCGTCGCAGGCAGCCATGCTGTACATCATCCTCTTCTTCGACCCAGACACCCTCCACCGCGAGCAGGCCAAGATGCGCGAGATTGTGGACAAGCATTTTCCGGACAACTGGGTCATCTCCGTGTACATGGGACCACCGTGAACCTCTGCCAGGCCTGGAGCCGTACAAGGCAGCACGCCTTGCGCTCATACACGCTCGACAGGAAAACATCCAGTTCCAGCAAGAGCCTTTGCAAGTGTGGTGTGTGTGGGTGTGTGTGTGTGGGTGTATGTGTGTGGGTGTATGTTTGTGTGCTGCCCTTTCCCTGTGTCCATGCATCTCTTGTCGCGTCCCCTGCCCACCATCACCACCATCTCCACCATCACACCTCTCTTGTTCTCCATCTGTGACTACAGCTGGTTGGCCACAAGCGCGTCAAGCAAATCCTCGACTTTGTCATCAGCCAAGGGTGAGGTGCTGCTTATGCGCAGGCGCTGATGCAGGATAGCACTGCATGTATC